CATACGGTGTATAAAACATATGTAATCTAAAAAAACACCAACAGAATCTCTGGATATGCACAAAATAAATTTCCGTCACGTTCACACGACACCTCAGGCAATTAGGCTGCAGTGCCAAGCCCAGATCGTGCGAATATACGCATGCGTGGAAGCTGTGGGGGTCTCCATACAGCCCCAGTCAGCGATCACCGGATGACAAAGAGAAATTGCAGCCGCCTTCAAAACTCGCTCTCAGTCGCCTTTGCACCAGCGAAGGCTGTAATTCTCGTTCGGTCTGCAACCGTGCCCGCTTGCTGCGCGAGTCCCTTGACCACACGCGCATACACATGCTCATACCGGCTTCGACAGGGCACAGCGCGCAGATGCAGCGTACCACTGTTTCATTACCGGTCATGGCATATATACCAGCTGTGCCAGCCGGGAACCGACAGCACTGTGTGAGCGTGCGCGCACTGCGCATTAGTTGCTGCAACTACAGCGCAATCGCAATTTATAAATAACAGAAGCACCGAACCACGGCACACCTGTCATTGTGGAGAGCTAATGCGTACCGGGAATAATCGAGTCCCACTGCATTCTATGCGCATGGCGGGGTGAAATGCCCCGATCCTCTATTCGTTGTCCTCAGATTTCATCCATTCGCACTGTGTCAGCGATAAAAATTTTGGTAGTCGGTACGCTTTTGTCGTTTGGAACCATTATCGAGCCAATCATTTAGCCCTTAGCGCAGAATAAAATAAGAAAAAAAAACATGAGGTAGAATGTAACGGCACCTATTGTACAGACAAAAATACAGTTCGGAAATTCCTTTTTGTGCTATTGCGGATCGTTTTCCCTTTGTTACGAAGGCGTATTTTTTTTTTTGGTATTTTGAAAATTACTCGCCTGCCATGAAAGCGCCCTTCGCGGTTACGGACACCATGAAAACTGTAATGTGCAAAAAAAAAAAAAGACATGTAACGAATATGCGTGTTTAACACGCTAGCAAGATGTATACCTTAAGCCGAAACAAAGAAAAGAAAAGAATAGAACAGAGTATAAAACAGAGAGACCTCGGGACATCTGTTTGGGGGAAAAAAGTCCTTTTTTAAGAGTTCTTACAGCCAAGTCCTCAAGAATAACAGCATATTTTTCTTTATTAGCGTTTCTGGCACTGCCGAGCTGCATAGATACCAGGACAAGATAAAGTATGTGCAACGAATACAACTCGATATGGTGGTGGCAAGCTATCGTGTTGTGAGGTATCTTCAAGGACGCGAGCCGGAATCCGTACTAACCGAGAAGTGAAGTTCCGGTGCATCGTGTACCCTAATGCCTGAAACGTACTATATACAATTCTCTCTCTTCTTGGATATTTTGCGGGAAAGGTGTTCGTCGTTTCCTTCACAGCAGGCTATCAGTGCCACTGCATTTGTACGAAATAATGATGATTGAAAATTATCTACCTAACATTAATTTCGAAATAAATGCGACTTTCTCTCCGACGTCAACATACCCTATATAAACAAGCACTGAAAAAGCCAAGAAGAGAAAAAAAGGCTTGATGAAAGCGTGCACTGTGTTTGAAGCTGAAAATACTACTTCTTAGTAGAAAAGTCATTTTTCTTTCGTGGTATTTCTTTGTGGTGCACTTCCTTCAAACCATCCCAAGAGGATCATGTTTGGGTGTGTAAAGGTGATGGGAATGAATGCGTCCTATCTGAACAATCCAAGTAAAGACGACACCTTCGCTTCGTACGTCCTTAAAAGGCCCTTGTCTATGTTCACTTGCGTATACATAGCCGCCCATCTTGACGTGCAAGCCATTCGTCTTATTTTCAACATTCGATATCCCACTACGAAGGCAAAATTTCTTTTTGCATGTGTAGAACGGTGACGAATCTACAAGGGACCTTGACATTAGCGCAGAATGAACAAGCAACTATATGGATGACAACTGTTTGAAGAGCCACCAGCGCGCCGTATACGCCAGGACCGGTCGTCACAGACCAGTCATCACAGACAGGTGGTCAGAGACTGGTCTGCAGAGCATTATATTACTGAATCGCCAGATTCGGCCACAAACGTCCATCGCTTCTCCTTCGTTCACGTATACGCAGATACTCGTTTAAAAAAAAACGCGAACGACGCGGGAATTACAACTCTTGCGGTCAGTAACAGAAGCTTCGTCGGCAAACACTCCAAGTCCCAGGTTAGCACGTGAGTCCCTGCTGTAACCGCACGAAGAAATACCAAGAAAAATCTCGGGCGCGTGTGCTTAGTACTTTACAATTCAAACAACTGAACGCGCTAGAGGCATGCACGGGTGGCTGCAGACTGTGTGATTCCCCACGTGTGTGACAGATGCATCTATCACACGCGCGGCGCATTCCTCCAGCTAACAACGCGTTTTAAAGTGCGGTGCGGCATGCAGTGGCCGGGTAGGATGCAACCGTATACACGTATACACTCGTTCTATCGTAGCTTACAGCGCAGAGGGGAGCCACGATTCATATTCTTTTTTTTTCTTCCTTTAAGCTCAGTCTTTTCCTCTTCATCGCCTGTTTCATCGGATGGTGAAAACAGTCGTACATACAACAACCACGCGCGGTTACGCCAGGAATGCCGCAAATGTCCTGCCGCCATACATATACTCACGTTTTTCTTTTTTTTTTGTGAGTTTGGGCGTTTTTTTACGGCCTTTCTTTGCGAGGCTTCCCCTCTCCACTTCTCGGGGTATTTGTATATGCAGGTATACACGCCGTGCAGATGTGGTTTCCTCAAGTATAGCGCCACCCGCTATACGCATTAAGGTCTCTTCTGGAATTCTTCCCGGGCATGCGGTCTTGAGGAGAGCAGTGCGGCGCGCACAACCATCAGCAACAGCAGCAGCTGATGACGAGCCCGAGCATGCATATAAAAGGCACATCCCGGCGCATTACGGTCGCGGCGGAGGCCTTCACGCGCGTGGCCGCCGCCATTATACGAGAGCGCGCGCCGAGGCCCGATTGGGCCATAATGATCACCGCCGGAAATATCTTAGCGCGAAGTAGTACGAGGATTCCGCTGGTGGCGCGAGACGTGCTCCTCACGCTTCTACACCCCTCGCGTCGAGGAAAATGGAACGCGCATGTGCTATGGAGCGCTCCTGCAGGACCCGAGCTAGCCAACACATATGTCGTATGCGCTTCTTATACGATTCCCAATGTTACTTGCGAAGCGCGCAATGCATCGGAACCTGTCTGCACGTCGCGTCTCGTGGGGCCATGCAGCGTGAATGCAGATGGCGAGGTGAAGGTTATCCGGTCGTCCGTCGAAGCAACCCCAACGTTGCAAGGTTAACAGGAGAGGGAGATAAAAAGAGTCTATAGCAAATGCTAAGAAAGTGTACACAATATCACTAATGCAATATATTTCACTTTCTTTGTCCGTTATTGTTTCTTCCCCCCCCCCTCCGCTTAAACGTATACAGTTTTTAGACCGATGTGTACTTTCGTGTATCGCCTTCTGCTCACGACACAATGCATCATAAGTAAGGAAGCCACGGCGAAAAATAAACACATCTGTTTAACAGGTCTGGCAACTGTCCAGGAGTGGGAGGAATCGTGGATTTCCTCGCATCGCGGTGAAACTGCGTGATAAAGCACTCGCGAGTGCGCGGCCCGATTCTTGCGCAGTTGCCACTGGCACGCACCCGGCGTGACGGTCGATGTTGCCATACAGTGTGCGTGTATACTAAACGTGCAGACAATCTCAGCGCGCAGCTGGCTATGATACGTAGTCGACTGCGCGCAAGCTACGTAGGTGCACCGGTCGCATTGGCCTCGCCGTTACGCTGTATATTTTCTAACGAGACTGCAGGCAAACGGTTGTCTCATTACTGAACTAACGCAGCTGAGAGCAGGTGCAAGTGTTTGTTGCCGCGTAGAACGATAACCCGTTGCTGAGTCAGCTGGTGTGCGCAGTGTTTAGTCGCGTTCTTTGCGTATGCAAATACAAAGGAACAGGTACCATTAAACAAACGCTCCCAGCGCGGCCTGCCGGAACAGCAAGCGGCAGCCAGCGCAACGCCTTTCCGTTTTGTTGTTTGCGTTTTCCTATTGTTCGGCTTTGAGTGCAAAAACTGTACAGCGCGCCGTCGCGCTAAGTCGAAAAATGGCTCCGCGAGGCCCCTTCTGGCCAAACAACGCACTGAAGCGTGCACTGTTTAGGGCGCAACGGCCCCCGGGCTGCGGAGGAGACTCCTTTCCGCCTCGCGTGCTTCCAAACTGCGTGCGGAACGGACACGGTGGCTTCCACCGACCGCTGAGAGCGCCCGCAGCAGCGAGAGAAGAAACACGAGTGCGAGTTCAATGGCACCTCGTTCGCCTGGTACAGAACGATGGAAGACTGCAGTTAAAAGGAAAAAGCGCACGCATTCCTATGCTGAATATCCTTCCGTACCGCGCAAAGCAAGCCCGATAAGGCCACATGTAAGCAGCCGCGAAGCCACTGGACGGCTTTGTATTAGCAGAAAACGAAAGAACTTTGCTGAAGCGTACGCATAGAAAGAGTTAGTGACAAGCTTGGTATGTTATATACTGTGTGTAGATGACGGTCTGGCAAACATTGCTCCCCATGTTGAGCGGTAGGCGAGATTACGAATACATGAACAATAGTCCATGCATGCACCAGATGCAAACCTATGCTGGATAATGACAGTGCAACGTCCGAGGGCCTATAACAACTAAAAAAAACTTCTTTGTTGAGTTTGCGTGTTCCTTTATTTCGTCTGTGTGCTATGGTGGTTGTAATGTAACTTCAGTCATAATGGGATAGTCGAATGTCACATGCATATCAATAAATGATTTGCTCGGTAAGTGAGTTGTTCGTTGTCTTTGAGAAATGTAAGAGCACGAAAATAAAACAAGGACGAGACAGCAGACAAAGTTTCGTTATCACCCGGTATTACATCATATTAGATTTGAAAAGATGCCACGCATACTTTCTGTACCTTGAAATACGTGTATGTTCTTGTGCAGGTTTCTCCAGCCCAGCTGACGGTCCCCGTCGTCGCAGGCATGCGTCCGAGGTCTCGGCCTATCTGAGCCATGTCCAAGATGCGGCAGCCCAAGTACGGCACCCTGTCAGCAGTTCCCGTCGGTCTATACGGTGACCCCCGCTGCTATGGCTCTGTGCGTGGCTGCTGCCGTCGGCCCGGCTGCACGTGCGGCCGCCGACCAGAGATCGACGATGCGGCGCTCTATTACCACGTTCTAGGCGCCTCGTCGCTGGGCGCTGCATCCTTGGGTAGAGCTTCGCTTGGGCGGGGTCATGCTCCGAGGCGCCGGTCTGCTGCCAGCGTCCATGGAGCAGCAGGTCCAAGTGCCGCGACCGATGTCTACCTGGCCGCAGCGGCCGCCAGTGACCCTCTGCTGCGAAAACTCAGCCGCAAGGACCGCTTCAGCTCTGTCTCCTCTCGTAGGTCTATCCTAGAATGCGACGTCACGGCATACGATCTCATCAAGAAGTACCTGCGCACGCCGGCCGCACCCGATAGCGATGACGATGACCTTAATAGCAACGTGCTGCTGAACGGTGCCAAGAAAAACGGCTCCCGTGCCGCGATCACCTCTGGGCATCCGTCTCCACGCCGCTCTCCGGCCAAGGGCTCTGCCGGCACGTCGTCACGACCTCCAGCCAGCCTCGAACTCTGGCCTGAGGAACCGGACCCGGACTATGACGAGGACAGTGACGTGGGCCTGGAAGCTGGTCGTTTCAAGGACCTCAAGATATCTTACTCGCCACCTCTCGTGCGCAAGATGTCGGTGCCAGCGACGCCCAAGGCACGCCCAGACACTGCTGCAGCTTCTTCCACTACGTCGTCGTCCACGCGACGCTCCCAGTCCTGCTCACCGGTGCGACCGACCACGACAACCACCACCGCCTCATCAAAGAGCCCGACGCTGAGCAGTCAGCCACGTAGTATACTGAAGAAGAAAAAGGCACCAGAAAGGAAGTCACTCAATGCCACGCACCGAGGCCGCGTGTCGCACAAGACCAACTCCAAGAAAGTCACGTTTCAAGAGGCTGGTGACACGGTGTCATCTCAAGCATGGGAGGAGGAACCATGGGAGAACCCTCATGAGGCTGCGCGCGACGCGAAGAAGACGCGCCCGCGCATAGATTCTTCATGGGACGTGGTGGCTGCTGCCACACCAAGCGTCCGCCAATCAGTGTACGTCAACGGAGCGCCCAAACGGCGCAACGGTGCAGCCACTGTTTCGGCGAGCGGTGCTGCTGAGAACAACTGCCAGCCTCGAAAAAATGAAGCCGCTTTCATGCACAAAGCCGATTCTAAATCGGAGTCCAGGGTCGAAGTCTACGGGGAGTGCAGGCTGTTGCCGAAAGAGGATAAAAAGACCGCGAAAGCCGAGCACAAGGTCGAACAGCAGTTCAACACAGAAGTACGAGTTCGAGGAAATCACAAGGTTGAAGTGAAGTCACCGCCACGCATTAGAATCGAGCCCCCAACTGAGAGTCAAAGTCCGAAGCTTGGGGAAAAGGGTGCCGTAATCCCTTCCAATCCTGCGGTGAACTTCGATTCCGAGCCAGAGAGGCAGTATCACCAGGTTAATGGTTCCTTCAAAGGCAAGGGTGGCGTTGGCGTTAACTGTCATGCGCAAGAAAGTTCAAATAACAGCAGGACGAACATCAACATTGTACCTTGCAATGAAGAGAAGGGCATTTATCTTGATCTGAATGGTAGTGAAAGCCCCTGCAGTAGCTACGAGGCTGATGCGGACTACGAGGTGATTTCCAGCCTTAGCTCTGATGAAACTAATGTCACTGGGCTCGTTACTGGAAAAATTGCTGTAGAACAAGAAACCAAAGTGGCCGAGCAAACACCCAACATTCTCCAAGGTACGCTACAGCAAGAAAATGGTAATACAACTGAAGGATTGGGATCATCCCACCAAGATGAATCTGAAAGGGAATGTCTGAAGGACAAGCGCGAAGGTGGAGCAACTGATATAGAAAATGGCATGTCCAGTCGCAGTCCTGAAGTAACACGAAGCCCTCAGCACGTCTCACCTCCTTTGAGCCCTAATTCAGCCTCACACGTTCGAAATCCTTCGGGTGTGCCCTTTGACAGCCGAAAAGATTCAAATTTGGATCCTTTGCATCAATACAAACCGGATGTAGTCGCCAATTTGGAGAATACGCATCTTCCCAGCAAATCCAATGATGAGGTTAACAAAACCTCTAAGCCTAAAGAACTACCAGTTCCCGCGAGAGCCACCGCTGTTCAAGACACAAAAGCAAAGGAAACTTTACTTCCAGATAGCGAATGCGAAAACCCGACGCGTCAAGTTCTTCCTTCGCTGAGCGTGGAACGCGGCACGGGAAAGCACTCGCTAGCGCACGGTCCACCCCTTGATGATGCTTCAAAAACCGCAAGGCCCGAATGCCCTGCACGAAAAAAGCACGATGTGCAGAAGAGCGCCAAGGGTGATGGTTCGAGGGAACCGAAGCCTCCTGCTCCACGAGCCGGTAAGCCCAGTAGCCCGCCGCGAAACGCTAACACGAAGCAAAAGGACTCCAGGATTTACCAAAAGGTCGGCGTCAAAGTGCTTCCCACAAAAGCCGAAGCCAACTCGGACGGGAAGTTGTCCTTGCCAATGGAACACCGGATATCTAGACCCCTGTCGCCGCCGCCACCGATACCGGCTAGCTCCGCTTCTCCAAAGAGAGCACCTACCGGTGAGTCGTAGTTATCTATACATTACACTATAAGGTGTTGTTTACTTGGGCTGGTTGGTGTTTACCATAGAAGTGGGAAGACTGAGCAACAGTGTAGGGACGCTTCGTTCGTCTCACTCAATTTATCCCGTCCTTTCACCGTTACACAGTTTTCCATACTGGATGTTTTATGTCGCTGGAGCTGCATTAACATATTCCTCTCATAACTTACACTCTCGACGAATACATTACTCAGCGTCTGTGATTGCGTCAGAATTTGTCGGTCGCAAGTTTGAGAATGCAACTATAGAAACCTACCACTGCGGTACGCGCGACATTATATTTCAAGTCGACTTCCAATAAAGTAGAATGTATGAAACTGCGCGTGTTTCTGACTCGCGAGCTAAGCGAATTGGATAGCGGTATTTTTGCTTCCTGGTGGCCCCCGTTCACACCAATCGTGGACTGGCGTCCCACATCAGGACTCGGTGAGGCGAAGTTCAAAACAAGGAGAGGGGCGAGGGGGATAACGAAAGCACGCTGTGAATGCTCGCATGAGTTTGTTCGAGTGCTGCGCAGCCCGCCAAACGAATCCGTGGAAGGCGCGGCACGTCATCAGCAATGCAGCGCGCGCCACGAAAGCAACCGCGGAGCCACCTCCCTCCACAAGGGAGAGTGCTGGCCGCAGCAGCAACAGAAAATGATGCACTGCCTTCCACGCGCATATCGAAAAGCAAAGAGAGAAGAAAATAACCCGACGACGGTGCCTCGCCCATTCATTGAGGTACACACATGCATACGCAAAGGCATCGCGCGAAGCGGCTTCGCCCCTCCAGTCTCGGCAAAGCAGCAGCAAGAGGGTCATGAAGCTGCAACGATGGCGGTACGTCCAGCCTTCTGGCAATCTAGGCCTCTCCTGCGCACCGTTATGCTGGCTGCTGCTGTTGCCTGACGACTGACCAGTTTGGCCGATCAGGCGCGGCGCGAGCTGCCGCACAACCTGGCGGTCTTCTTCCTCCGTCTTCTTTTCGCCCGTTCGCTGGACCGTTGCCTTGCAAAGGCAGCTGGGCGCCGCCGCCTCCCAGCTTCTTCAGACTGACGGCACGATCGGCTGCCGTCGGCTGCCGACGCGGGCACGGCCCACACGCCTCGGAGTATATAGATGGCGAGGCGCGCTGTGTTTTCAATCCGCGGCACGGGGACGACGGGGTGTATGTAGTAAATTCGGCGTCGTAATTCTCCCATCTCGCCGCAGGGGTCGCTGCCGCGCACCACGCATGCACGGCCCCCGCCACAGTTCTCAACTCTCACCGCTCGGTTTGCCGCGTCAAGCAGCAGGCGTTTCCTGTTAGGTGTTATTATGATGCGTGCTAAGTTCAATGGAGCGCGTTTGTAAATAGTGGCGATGCAAAGGGGGCCACAGTCGCTGCTTCGTTATTCCTCGCACACAATTGTGCTCTACATTACAGAATAAAGAAGGAAGGCTTGAAAGTGATGAATAAATAACAACAGAAATGCGGTCAAAGCTTTAGAGTATATTACACTGCCGTTATGAGATCTATCTGAGACGTTCTTTCCATGCAGCTACAGTATTCTCTAGGGTGGTCTCTGAATGTAGCTGCGATCGTAAAATTCGCCGTCCATACGCGCTGTCGAGCATTTTGGTGGTTTGCATATATGCATGGTAATGCGTGCTCACATTGTGCCCGTACTGCACTAGTTAAGCATTACTGCACCTTATAATTGCGAAATGAGGATAATTCCGCGACAACATAATTCTCCGGGCCTCGCTTTTTCTTTATGCATATACGGCACGCACGAAACAACTGATAAAGTTCACCAGCCTTTCTTTTGCTTACGGAGACCTTCCACCATTGTGTATGCGAAATAGGGACAAATATTCAACATACCAAACGATGCCGCGGGTTCAAGTGGTAACATTATTTGCGTCAGCCATCTTCAAGTACAATGTGGAGGTCTAACTACAATAATTCTGCTTTCACTTAGGCGAAAGCAGTCAGCACAGTTGTCTTTCTAAGCGTATACAGACAGTTGGGTTAGTTGGCTGATATCATTGATACATGTTCCCGATACATCTTTTTTTTTTAATTGCAACAACGACTTGCTTTAAGGCATAATAGTTTTGCGGGTATGTTAAATGTGCGTCGTTAGGCCGGTGTTGTGTATGAAGTGAAGTTGTGTCTTGTGGAATGTGTTATGTATCCAGTGGTTGTAACTGGCTGTGTCGCTGTAGCGAAGGCCGGCTTGAAGGAGGTGACAGGAGCGTTCCGGCTGCAACCCTTTACATGTCCATATAAGGTGGTACACACACACACACACATACACACACACACACACACACACAGACACAATAGAACTTACGCGGAAGGCGAAGAAATGGACGCTGCCGGCGTTTGTGCTGCCCATTTATACATCGTGTACGTTTTTGTTTGTTTGTTTGTTTGTTTGTTTGTTTGTTTGTTTCGTATGCTGAAAGAGTCCCGCGTTCAAAGTTACCCACACGCCGTTGTAAGTGTTATTACTGGCCGCTCGTGGTGCACTCTTTCCCGGACAATAGATGTGTCTGCAAGAGGCCCTAAATTCCTTTGTCGCTGATAAACTCTTTCAACAACAAATTTCCACCTTAACGAGCGTTGTACACTTTCTCGATATCTGTACACATGTGCGATGCGACCAGCAGCTTCGCACATGTGTACAGATAACGCCTTATCGACAAATATGCTTTTTTCCTTCTTTTTTCGTTTTCGAGATCAGACAACACAGCGTAAAGCTTTATATTAGTCGCAAAAAGCGGCCCTCGAACTCCTGATAAAATATTTCAGTCACGACCCAAGAGGAGCCTACCAGGATAAGACCAAATATCTTCGGGGCACCCATATAACGATGCGTTTCCTCGTTTGCGGCGGACTCTTGCGACTACGCAACGGGGGCCCCTTGTTTTTCGATCTGTTTCTTTCTCTCCTCGCTTTCAATAGCAAGTGCGACGAGACGACCTCATCACCGATACAAAATTGCATCTCGGTTATACGAGCCGCGCTCCCGCGGATTGTTTCGATCGCACGGCCGCGGCCGTTTAGTGTCTCTGTCTTCGACGTCACCCCCGAGGCAGTGACAAATCAATGCCCCGCCGTGGTGGTCTAGTGGCTAAGGTACTCGGCTGCTGACCCGCAGGTCGCGGGTTCAAATCCCGGCTGCGGCGGCTGCATTTCCGATGGAGGCGGAAATGTTGTAGGCCCGTGTGCTCAGATTTGGGTGCACGTTAAAGAACCCCAGGTGGTCGAAATTTCCGGAGCCCTTCACTACGGCGTCTCTCATAATCATATGGTGGTTTTGGGACGTTAAACCCCACAAATCAATCAATCAGTGACAAATCAATCAGGCGTCTCTCGGATCGTGCTCTCGTTCTACGTGACGACCGATGTACGCGGTGACGCGGTGCTAAGAGAGTCACCTCACTGTCTTCAGAAATGATGCCCTGTGCTCATGCCCCCTCGAGGTGGTCGTTGAGTACAGTTTCGCGGTCACGCATCCCATGCGGCGTGTTAGCGTCGTGAGGTCGATCGACACGTTGTCGTCGTTCTTCGTGCACGTGCTCCTTATTCGGAACCGGAAAGAACGTGTCGCACCAAGAAGTGCACACTCCCGGCGGCTGTCCATCCATATAGCGAGGCAAATTTAGGGCGACCGCATGTCGGCGTGTGTAACACACGGGCTAGCGGTTCTGTGCCCCTCACACGGACAAACGTTCGAACGTGTTCTAAAGAGAACCGTGAGGTCGGTGTACACGTATCCGCCTGTGTGTGACAGAGAGAAGTTAGGCGGCCGGCGGCGAGCATTGGCGGGGCCACGCGTGATTGTTCAACGAGGGAGACTGCCCTAAGATAGACGCCACTGAGATATACCGAGCATCCAGTCAAGCTATCGAAATTCCGAGCGACCGTAGCAAGAATTGCGAGACGGCTGCAGCGGAAGAACAAAGCAACCATACTCTGAGAATGTTCTCTAGTTCATCAATAATTAGCTTCAGTAGTAATGCAGCTGAGATTATGAAATCGAAGAGCATGCCAAGAAAACTATTCACAAAAGCCGACGTCGTAACGGCTTCATAGGGACGTTCCACTGCTAAAGTTGACTTGGGTAAATGTTCCTAAAAGTGCCTAAATGTAAACATTGGGACGATAAGTGGCATCGCAAAGCTGTTTCAACGATCGACAGACCCATAGTTCTGGCGGCTAATTCATATTTAATTTACTTACTGACACGGTTATAAAAAGAAGTTCGCAGGGATGTCCCATAACCATCCCCGTATAAAAGAAACAAAATAATATTGAATATTATCAATAACCGTCATAACTCTACAGCGAGTGCGCTATACTACAGAGATGTGGGCTCGGGTTTAATGCACGACACGAAGGCTAACTGTGGAAACAGACCACTGGCAGCACGCTACCAGGAACAGCCATACAGCTAGGCTGCACAACAGTTCAGCCTTAAGGAACCCAACTTGTGCATGCTACAACCGCATTCCCGTAGGTATGTTCGCCGTGTTCTGAAACGCAGTTATATGATAAACCTTTGAATCAGCAGCTGAGCGCTTATCCTGGCAACGTCCAGAGAGTAGAGCCGAAGTGACCTAGCACTGAGTTTAACTTCGTTCCAGCGCTATAGAGGGCGCCCTCGGTCAGAGGCTAAGTTGAGCTGTCTAGAGGGCACGGCCGTCATTTCGGCGCTTGAGCAATGCGCTACGCCTCGGTGTAGTTAAAAGTAATCGGCGAATGGACGTTGCACAGGCACGCTACGGCCTCGAGCGACGTTCCCTTAACGCTACGTGCCGTCGTGGGCGCCCGGTGGGGTCGAGTCTGGCGCGCGACCCCGCTGGCTTCGAGCGCTCGCTGGCAAAGCCGCGGCGGCCAGCCGCAACATTCGCGCGCGCCCTCAAACTCGCTCATATACATGCTGCATTCTGCGCTTGAAAAAAAAAACCCTCGCAGCCACTTTGA